ATGTTGAGAAATGTGGACACGTAAAGAAAGATCAAAGTACACTCCTGGTTAATAAAACTCAGCAAAAGTTACTGCAAAAAATGCTGGTAAAATTAGACTTCACCAAAGAATCACAGACAGCTAAGGATCAAGGGAAAACATTACAAAACAAGTAGAGATATTAAAAAAAAAAGAAGAAAGAATCAAAATTTGGTTTTAGAAGGGCAGAATGGAAAGATTTTGTAAATCATTACCTAATTTCATGTTTTCATTTTCAGACTGATTTAAAAATAGAGCGCTTGAAGGTAGATTAGAAATTCCATAGCTTGATAGTATATGTGGTGGGCAACAAGCACGCCTTCTGAAGAAAAAAACATAGTATTTATGTTAGAGAGGGTAATACTTGATATCTAGATGAGATTTTAAAATAAGGGAAAAATACACTTTTGCCTTCAGGGACAAGAGCAACAAGGACTTTACCAAATAAGACCATTAATTAGTTATAGACATTTAGTTTAAATATCTTACTTATTTTTAATTTCTAAAAAAGGAAGGAACTACATTAAAGTCCCCCTTTGTTTTCCTTTGAAAGGAGTTCATTAGATAGGTTATGTGCGAGTAAGTGACTGTACATTCCATGTTAGACTACTGCTACATTTAATTTTCTATACAACATTGTCCAGTACCATCTGTTTCAAGCAGCAACTAACCCTAAAATAGATATTATGGAAAAACTTAGAATAACTAATTAAGGAATAATTTTTTCCATAGGAAAATTATGTGCCTAACCCTTGCAGCTAAGACTGTAAGTCCTATGTGATGAGAGTTTAAAATCATGCTTATACTGTTCTAAGTAACTGTCAGTTTCCTTATTATTGAAATAAATAACCAATCTTTCCAAGACTACTCTCAATGATGTTTTGTAGCAATCAGTTTCACAGGTTAAGTTGCACAAGGTGTTATTCCTCTTACATGTTTTAAATTGAATTTGAATGTGTTCTTGCATCAAAAATGAAGGAGTACTTGGTTTATTTTTTCCATTCCTTTCATTACTTTAACAATCTCTGTCCTCTAAACAAAACTAAATAATTTTGTCCATCTCTACGCAGTAATACACAAAGCTACAAATAATTTTTTTCACCCCTTTCAGATGCCATCTGAGTAATCAAAACAGAACGGAGTTCAAGGTGAAACCATACTGCTGGTTTTATAAAATTGTTCTATTCTACTATTGCCTGACTATCCTTCCTCCAGTTCTTTATGCAGACTGAAACTCTTGTTACTGGATGCTGAGCAGGTGTTCTCTTACACTTACCCAAAAAGATGCTAAATTTTGTTCTAGATAAGCCGGACACTGCCAAGTGGAATAGATTTCATGCGACAGGTAGGATCTTTATTAAATTAATCACAAGGGAGTAGTAAAAAGATGAAAAATAGCACAGTCCTCCTCAGTTACTATCACAAGGAGCCATTTAATGAGTCCAGTCTAATAAGACTATAAAACGTGCACAAGAGTGTAGAATCACGATGCTGAGTTGTCTCTACAGAGTCCAAGACGTTAAGAGCCCAGGCATTGCCTCTTCAGATGAAGGTTGAGAACGCCAATGGAATTCACTTTGAGTGAAATTTAAAACCATGCGCACATCCACCTTTATCTCCTCACCTGCCTAAGCATGCCAGATGCTGTGGGAGAGCTGAAAAGAAAAAGTGAACATGCACATAACTTGTTCAGTGAGAAATTCCTTTTTGTGACCCCAGAAAAAACAACCTGTCAGAGTTTAGAACATATCCATAGATCCAGCAGCTGTCATAAGAAAAAAAAATACAAGAACAAAAGAAGAATATGCCATTATATGGAGAAAAAAAGGCCTTCCTTTCCTTTTCTGCAGGAGCTGACGTAGAGCTCCTTGAAGATCAGCCAGTTATTGCTTTAAACTGTGAGGACGGCTCCCTTCTCATACATTAATTCTTCATGGCAGGTCAGATGAAATGAAGGAAAATTTGTGGCGCTGACACAGAAAGAGAAAGATATGGGCATTTCCTTTCAAATCCCTAGTCCACAGAACTCATGTTCCTTCAATCTGTCTATCCTGCAATAGCCAAGCAAAAGCCACTACTTTGCCATATCAGATGGGATAAATGTGTCCCAAACTGAGACAGTCAATTTAGACATCACTTACAGAGATGACTATTCTGAGTTATTCTCTTATTGTGTTTTGAAGATTGTTTTCATTCGCTATCACTCCAAGTCAATGAAACTCAGAACAATAGGACAAGCCCATTCTTACTTTGATCTTCTTCTGCACAGATTATGCAAAAGAACCATCCAATGCTCATGTATGAGTTTGTTATTTCTGATGATTAACATTTAACTAGTGAAGACAAATGAGACTCGACTCTCTCAAATTCAGAAAACACAGAGCCTCTTTATAGGAGGAATCACTGAGATGAGGTCTCATAACCGTTTACTTTCAGTTTCCCTGTTATAGAATCAAAATATTTTTAGTGAAATCTGTGGAGTTTCTTGTGGTTTGGCTCCCTAGTCACAAGCTATGAAAACAAATCGCTTTCAAGCCTTCCAACATCAGTTTCTATGAGTAGAAAAAATAAAAATAAACAGAGCTTTGTTCCCATTTGTGCTGATTCCTGGGGAAGAATCATATTCAACGGACTTTTCGCAATTTGGATTCCAAAATCCTTTTCTTCCTTATGTGTGGTCATAACAGAAGCAGAGTATTTTTAACTCACTGCAAGTTACGCACTGCAAATATTTTAGAAACGATCTCTTTGGATTTGCTACATTTTCAAGTAGCTAGCTTAGGTGGCGTCTAAGGTCTTTCCATACCTCAACAAATATATGCTCAGCTAGAGTTTTTCCTGTCCTTATCATGTCATTTAATTAATTATTCCTCCTTTTTCATTTTTTCTACGCTTCATTTTGCTTTTTTCTTTTCCCTTGTTCATGTACAGTGCATTTCAGTTTTTCTTCCATTTCTTCCATGTCTTTCCCTCCCCTTTTCTACTATTTTACTCCTTTATTTTCCTTCACCAGTCCTCCTGTTTTCTCTCTTATTCCACTACTTTCACTCCATCAATCTATTGATTGACAAGTTGATGTATTGCTTTGAAAGGGTTCTCTAAAATAATTTCAGTGCCACAGGACTATTCATATATTCACAAGGCATGTTCATTTTCAATCCATTAAATTGCCATTGGACTATTGAAATTGCTGTTGTGCAGTGATAATACTCCATTTTGCCTCTTCAGAGATGCAAGTCGGCCAAATAGGCACAAATCATGTATACCACAGTAATATCCATCAGAATTGCAGTCTGTATTCTGCACTGCTCAAATTAGAGTCTGCTGCCAGATTGTTTGAAAGAATACACAGGAAAGTACACAGCTGTGGCAGTCTCCAACTAAATGAATAATGCAATATCAACATCTGTAGGATTTTTGAAATGCTAAATGTTCAGATAGTAAGTCTCTGCTGCAGACACAGATGGTAATGATGTTGTTGTCCTTGCAGTGGTTGCCACCAGAAACAAACAGAGTTCCATAATCAGACTGGACTGTTAATGGGTAAAACAATACGTTCTTTTAACAGCACTAGCTCTCCATGTATCTCAGAATGATAAATGCTTGCTTTGTGGGTTGCATTTAATTTCAAGCTTTGTTAAGCTAAAGAAATCCACTAATGAATATGGACATCTTCAAGCACGAATACAGATGCCAACAGCAGCTGATCGCACTCAGCAGGTGAATTTAAACTGACAATCCAAGTTAAGGTAGAATAATTAAAATAAATTTTCCATTCAGTGAAAAAGCATAAGAAAGTTCTACGTTTACCTCACCAAAACACAAACAATAAGTAAACTTTTCCTATATGCGTAATAGTACTATTTCACAGGATTATATGTGTTTTTCTGCTGTTTAAAACTCATCAGTACATATTGCCTAATGAAATAAACAAAAGAAATAAAAATGGTCTCTAAATACAGGCAAATAAATATATCTGTTCATCAGCAAGTGTTTTAGGGTACCTATGAAAGAGAGCACAATGTCTTATAATTCACTCTTTGTCCATTACTTTTTTCCATCAATAAAAATTGTGTTCCAAATGCATTGAGCGGAAAAAAAAAAAAAGAAGTAATTTTGCTCAAATTAGATGATGTCCCTGGAGTCAGAGAAAAGCTAAAAGAACTAACTGAAAAGGGAACATAAAATTAAGCGGTGCTGGGAGGCAGAGGAATTACAAGAGGCTAATAAGAAAAGCAATGAGTATATGAAACAAGCCTCTGAAAGAAGGCATGATGTCACCAATCAGCTCATCTGGACAGCTGCAGTCTGAACACTTGATCCCAGACGCAACTTATCTTCTTAGCTGGAATAGGCTCTCTAGAAAGACTGAGGATTATTTCCTTTGCACAGTGACACAGCTGAGAGAAGTGTATCAGAAATGTTAAAAAACTGTACCCAAATCAGAGCTGAATATTTGCAAGGCTTAAAAGATAGAGGAAAAAAGTCAAGATGCTAAATCAGAAATTCCAGGAAGTCTGTGCAGACAAAGAAGGAAAAGGATGCATTGTTTTCAGCAAATGTTCTTGATTAAACCTATACATAACTTTATAAATTACCACAACATCCTCCTCCTCCTTTGATTTAATTTCTATAAAACGATCAGGATTTTAGCCAAAAGAAACCTTAGGACCTATACTGCTGTTTGCTTTCCTATTTAAATATAGGAAACATGATATTTAGAGACACAGCCACTCACCTCTGCTAGGCTTGGAGTTCATAAATAGCAGGTCTTCAGACGACCTGTGTCATTTGTCTGAGAAGGGACAAAACATGTTTATTCCCACGGACGTTCTCCAGATAAATCTGAAAGGGACATAGTCTTGGATCCTCTATACTGCCATCCTCCAGAGATGCTCAATATTCCCTTGAGGAGCTGCTTAACAAGTTTGTTGGTCTCATGCTTTTAATGCTCAAGACACTTACCTTCTGCTCTTCGTCCGTGAGGATGGAAAACTGTGTGCTTCTGCAGTTTGCTGACAGACAGAGACATCAGAAAAAGTGGATTCCTGTTCATCCTTTTGGGTATTTCTCTTTGGGTTGGACTCCTTCAAGTGTATGTGTTCCTATCCAACAGAAGGCTAGCTTGACTCTGGGATTAGGGAAGGCAGCTATACAAAGCTTGCAGATGATTGTGCATTCAGTCCTTCAGCAGAGAAAGAATCTTCCTCTTTCTAAAAGTTTTGTTTTGAAAAAGAATAGGAGGCAGGAAGAAAAGATAAGAGCAGTGTGAGTACTTCCTAAAGTCAAAAAATCCTGCAGACCCCGGGGATGGAAGATTCCGGGTGGGCCATCAAATAGGCAATAGTTTAACCATAATACCTTAACAGTTTAACTCATAATACCCTAACAGATGCAAAACTGTGTGCAGAATTGTCGGCTATAGTTTTTAGAGTAAGAAAGCTAGCATAAAACAGAGCCTCTTAGGTCATACTATCCTTTTCCAGGAAAAAAAAAAAAGTGCACTGCTCCTCCCATAGGAGAAAGAGAAGGATTCATAGCCAAAGAACAGAGGCAGGTTGTGAACTCCAGGGTCACAGAAGCTGTTACAGTCAAGATTAAAACCCAGTGAGAATTCTCCTTAAGTACAGAGGCAAAACGCAGGACCTCTGTGCTGTAAATTGAAGAAGAACTTCTGCTACCGACACAAAATGTCCAGCCTGGTATTGGAAACACATGTGTAAAAGTGTGCGTGCAATGCTGGCCAACGGTAATAAAAAAGAAAATATTTTACAAACTTCAAAAAAAAATTAGCTAGCTCTAGAATGCACATATTTCTACACAGACAAAAACATGATGAATGTACACCTTGATGCACAAAACATTAGCATTTTGCAGATGCAGGAATCTGAGCTTCAGATCAAGCCACAGAGGGCCTTAGTAACTTGCCCAAGGTCATAATATAAAACCCATGTAAAGCTCTTTGATTGTGATTTGCTTTCTAATATACAGAAAACTCACATGCTGAGGGAATTGAAACACCTTTTAGGCACACAAGAGCTTCATCTAACTAATTTACTATTCAAATATACGGTAAAGAATCTGGTCCCAGTAGATGTGTGTTCATATCACAAAGCTACCACATATTTTGAAATAATCTGTTACAGTTGTAAGACTGTGGAGGAAAGACCCAAAAATTCAGAACTGGAAGAGAAGGTTACCAAGCAGAATCAAAGGATACCGACAGATGTGTTCAGGAAGCTTAGACGGTGTTTCTATGTTCTATGAATAGCTTGAGTCCAGGCTATTGTGGGCTCATATTCATAAGTAAAGCATTTATCAGAAAATTAATAACGGCATTAATATGGAAATACAATTTCTGCTCTCTCACTGCATCTCATTCCATTGCTGTTCCTTAAATCAAAAACTCCTGAAATCTACTCAGGCACATTATCATAACAGCTATACTATCAACTACAATACATTCAGGCCAATAAGGGCCTCACTTTTTGGTAATATAAGTTTCCTGCAAAAATCTGAGCATGATCTAGAAAAGCCCTTTGATACTCTTTTATTTTTAGCTATATAGTTATTCCAGTTGAACAGACACTGGAAATACTCAAGCCCCAAAATTATACATATTTTGAAATATTTTGCTGGTTTTAGTGAGCAACTTTGTTACTGAACCAGTCTCTCTCCATTGTGTTTTCTAAAAAGTGCACATAGGTAATATATATTTTCTATGTCCTAAGAACTCAGAACCACAGCATCTTGCCTTTCTGATTTGGCTGTCAGTGGAGCAGATATTTGGCTTTCTGCTGCACCTTTGCTACTTCATTAAATGAAATGAGACTATGAGACTATGAAATGAGACAGAAGACAACATAAGCATTTTCCATGACACCTTAATGCTAAACAATCTGATAACTGCGGTGTTCTGATAGTTGTGGAATGAATATCTTTACCTATATATGCCCATCACTATATCTAAGCGTATTTCTGTTTCTGTCTATAAACAAAGCAGTTCCCTAACTGAGGAAGCTGGTCTGTAGAAACAGGCACTGGTACTACAGATTACTGAAGCAAAGCCAAAGAACAAAAGATGTGTTTGCAAAGATTATAGTTTGTAGATCTAATATCTTAGGACAGTTTCAGCACGTTGAAGAACCTCACAGGGAGAGAACAAAATGTTTTATGAAAACTTAAATTATGTAAAATACTGAGATGTATTATATGAGGCATTTTAAATAAGGGCAGAATAAAGGCTAAATACTTCTGAACTGTCTCAGAAAAATTAATCCTTCTTAATTCATGCACCATTACTAGACTCTGATATTAAAATGTCGCTTGCCTTTAGGCTGATGTAGTTATAATTATTCACTTGTTTTAATTCATATTTTATTTATGTACTGTGTTTTTATGCAGCACCAATTGTGGTGGCATCAAACAATTAAAAACAAGCATAAATTAATCTCTCATTTACCAGCAACCATCTTAAATTAATGAACTAAAGGACCTTCCATGATTTTTAATTAAAACTCTGAATAAGCAAATACGTCTCATATATGTCTTATGAAATCTGAACTTTTCAAGAGGACCTTTTTAACACACCTTGGAGCCCACCTCGTCCCTGTTGAGTCTAAGCTTTCTGTCTCTCTGACCTCTGTTGAGTGTCCCAGAACCAGGTAATATCCTCCTAGCAGCAGTTTGGCAGTAGTTAGTGTATTGATTCTAGAAGAGTCCTCTAACTTAAGAGCAAAAATAAACTGCACAATAAGAAGCCATGTATGTCTCTCTCCAGTAAAATTCTGTATCATTCTGCCTCAGCAAATAGCAACCATCATGCGCAGGCAGGAGACTCCTGGAAATTCAGGAGATTCTACAGAAGGAATAAAACCAAGTAGTTACATGGCACAGCATAGTGAAACGATGATAAAACCAGCTTTTTACAATGCTTCTGTCATATACTTGTCATATGGCCATTGTCATGTGCTTGCCATTCTGAATTATATGATACTCAATAAATATGCTCTTCACTTTAAAAGTTATAGAAAGAGCCTATATTACTTGCAGATTTGTATTTGAAATATACATACGCGTATGCACTCATATATCTAGTGTTAAAAGAAAAAGATTATATTGCAAACTCAAACGCTGAGATGCTGATAAATGTCAGAAATACTTTCATTTAAAATTTCTGAGCGTAAAGATCTAATCTCTGTTATCTAATTTTATTTTCTCTGTTATATTCTCTGTTATCTAATTTTTTATCACTTTATTTTCCAGGAGAACCTCTCAAAACCTAGCTTCCTGCTTATCTTAGCTCATTCTTTTGATAAACTAAGTTCCATAGTTCCCTAGGCCCCAGATCTGGTTTATCTAATCTAAGATACCCTGCCCAATTAATTCTCATTTATTTTGCAGCAGGATTTATTAGCTGAAGCATAACAACAGTGACACACTTAATGCAATACCTGGCCACTCAGCAATCAAGCAAAAAAGCACTTGTGTCTTGCTCCAAAAAGTCACAGACACGAGCCTGTTTGTCCAAATTTTTGTCATAATACCCTCCACCTTAGGTTCCCTCTCCTCAGCTCTCCCACACTTCCCTTTTCTAAGCAGATCTAGTTTTTGTTCCCTTTGCATCTAAGTCAAGCAACTTTCCTCTCCTTTCTGCCAGGAACAGCTAGCATCTTCACTACAAAAGCCGAAGCATTTGAAGGCTAGAAAAAGTCTCCAGGGAATATTTCTACTGAAAAAATAAGAAGTCTATATTTAGTTGTGTAAACCTGGACAACTGTGGACAAATTTTCAACAGATGGTAAAGGGAAAAGCCCTGATACAGCACCCCCTTACTATCAAATTTTGACCACTTATTCAAAAATCACAATTCAGAATAATTTTAAATTCAGACCAGCAAATATTTCTCTATGCTAACAAGTGAATACTTTCCAAAATTTTTCAAAATAATTCAGCTAAAGTAGGTAGTTAGGCCAAATTTGAAGCAATTGAAAACAAGATGCTAGAAACTTAAGTGTCAAGTAACATACAGATTCTTCTCCTTATCTCATCTCCAAAAAGGTTGACCTTGAAAGCCTTCTTACACACAAAGGTATATCACATGTCCTTCTTACATTCTACAGCTTTTAATTTTTATATGAAACAAACAATCATTATTCAATACAGAGGGCAGCTGTGCTGGCGATGTGGCATGCTGTGTGGATTTCTGCAGACCGCTGTTTCATGAAGACTTCAAACACTTGTCCCAAAGAGAAAAAAGGCATCAAACAGCTGTTGCAACTCTCAACAGAAGAACAGCAACATTGCTGAAAATTTTAGTGATCTATTGTTTATCTTCATTTTATCCTCATGTACTCAGGCAAGTGGACTTTATAAAAGAAGTAAGGTCACATAGGTAGCAATAAATCAAGCGTTCAAATACTGTTCTGTGCTTGTATTGCAGGCATAATCTATTGTTTTATGGAGACAAAAGGGAAGAGCAGTTCCCTATCTGCTTCTTTATGTCAGTGACAACACTTTAAGACACGGTGTCAGTCTCAGTTGTGATAGATTTTTTAATATGGAAGCTGTTTCACCATGAGATAGATGTAGGTCATCAACCTGTGACTGGCCTCACACAAAGATTCTCAAAGATGTTAATGCAGGGAGTAAAACCAAACAATTTTTTGAAAGCTTCTTTCATTTTTATAGATATCAGAGAGTGCTCCTACAAAAGGGGAAATGCCACCTTGAATGCTATCTGGCTTTTAAAGTTTGGATATAGCTCAAAAAAAAACCCAAAAAACAAAAAAAACAAACACCCCACACCTTCTGGGCTGCTAGGAAGTTGAATTAAAGTTACCAGAGATACATTGTCATTCGGAAGCAATAGAATTTGATCCCGGGATCAAAACTTTTTTTTTTCTACAAAGCACGCAAGACCCTAAGAGTGGGTCTGCGAATAGTTTTGTCTTCCCGTCCTGAAACTTTTCAAACTTTTGTTTATTATCTTGTACTGTAAAAGAATGAAAATTTGAATTCTCCAATGTTTTTCTGAAATGATAACATAAACAGACATCAGAGTTACTGAAATGCTTCTTTCTGTTTTCATATCTGTAAACATTTTCCCCTTTTTAGGGGAAAAATAAAATATATGAAATGAAAAGCCATCCCAAATGGAATATGTTAACCTGTTCAAAGTTCAAAAACTGTGATATTTTTACACTGACTGTGTGTCCTTGACAGATGACTTAAAAATGAAGTGCCCACAACATCTCCTGTGATACGACAGTGTGACCAAGAAGGCCCAGTATCTGAGAGAGATCAGACTGTATATGAACATCAGCTAGCAGAAGCTGCACCAAGACTGGGGTGATACTAGAGGTAAAGGAAAACTTTTTGAGGAAATGTTAACAGTCTCCTTTTCTTGAGTATTCATAACTTTACAAATCTTTTCCAGTGGTAGTTTAGAACTATTTTTAGATTTTGTGCTGAGGCTAGGCTCTCCTACCTGATCATTTGCCAGAACTATGGTTATTCTTTATGTTGGTTTTGGCTGACTAAAATCTTATCATAGGAGAAAAAAAAAAATCTTACTTAAGTTCCTATATCACCTCTGAATGTAGAGGACTGCAGCATAGGTGCTCGTGGAGCCATAAGCCTTTAAGAAGTGTCTCATTACCAGTACAAACTGCTATAAGACCATCCAAACTTTCTCTCACAGTATTTTCAACAGAATATAGAATCAGTTAAATATCTCAGCCATAATCTTCATAATACTAATGGGTCTGAAATTTTTATAAGATGCCCCAAAGTTCAGAGGTAGAGGTAATCAACAGTTTTGCTCCTCTGGAAACAACTTTCTTGGAGCTGGTCTGAGATTATGGAGCTAACTGCTACAGACACCAGGAACCATCTACCTACCTTCCATCCCAGCTACTATATGGACATTTTGATCTCACACACAGAAAATTTCTGTGCACAGTGGTGACATGAAAAGCTTGAATAGGGCACTTAGAACACAGCTGGAGTGAAATACATAGATAGTGTTAATAGATCATACTAAAAGCAAATAATAATAACTTATCTATCAGTATGATAAAAATCACTTAAGAATCATGGGCGTATTTAAGAAATATAAGTAATTAAAGCTTTGCTCCTAAAATATGAAAATTTATATGCTTTTCTTCACCATCATAGCTTCTACTAGCTCTCACTAAAAATTTCTGATATTAGAGGATGCTATGCATTATTATTTTCAGTATAAAGCAGTTGCAGGTGGTAGAAAACACTTTCTTCAGTGCAAGAACACTTTCCAAACTCTAATATCTTTCCTGGGTTCTACCTTCGTTCCATGCATAACGAAATGAAAAGACTTTCATTTCAATGGACAAATGATCAGGCCCTAGATGCTGTTGCTGTAGTAAACTTCACTGCTGAATTTCAGTGGAGGAAACTTTCAGAGGCTGAGGCTGGTCTTAGATATTGTTCTGGAAATTGGTTGGGGACAAGTTACTCACACAGCAATGTGGTAACATTTCCCCCATGGAAGGAAAACATATTATCACTCACATTACGAGCTTGATATTTCTAGCAGCATAAAGAACAAGCAATCCAAGGTACCTCTTCCATCATGGTCTCCTCATGTGTTAATGTTATCAGGATTTGTAGATATGCTTTGTTTCTGCTTATCTTTGAATGAAGTAGGTACAAGATGCAGTGTTCAGTCTTCTACCTGGGACTTGATCTTGTAAAATGCTGTAAGTCCTGAGCTGCTTGAGGAAACTAGAGCCAAAGAGTTCAGAATGCATTCTTGTTCAAATCTCATGCAGCAGGCTTCTAATGTCTCAGATCAATTTTTTTCTTGTCATTGTTCTGCACAAATCACTGTTTTAAAATTGCTAAGGATGTTAATTAAGTAGATGTATACATTTTTTCAAGGCTCTTGAAAAGGTGATTTTCTTCACAGAAATTACTGGCTAAAAATTTGGCTGAGTAGGTTTATGAGCCACTTCAGTGGCTCCTGCAAGAAAAAAATCACCCTTATGAGCAAGCTGTAAAGGTGCAGAGATAAGTTTCTCACCTCTGTAGTGTTACATATGCTGTGTTTATCAAGTCTCAAATGTTTTTTTTATTTTATTTTTCTTCCATGAAAACCCAATTAGCAACATCTAAATAAAGAAAACGAGGCTTCATCAACGAACGACATAAAAATTCACTTTTTTGGCCACTGAGTGCTCTTGTGCAAGACTTAGTAAACAATCTGTCTAGAGGCTAAAATTCCGTGCCTGGGCCTCCTAAATGTACTCTGAGATGGATCTTTGAGTCCTGAATAATTCATATGTATTTTTGGAGGTGTGTTTTGTATGATGATCAACACTAATGCTGTCACACACTGTTAAGTTTTCTGCTGAGAAGGAATGCTTAAGATCATGGTTTGGGCTCCTCAGTATGCCCAAGATTTCAATAGGAAAAACAGCAGCTGTTTTTCCTATTACAACTTCCCACTTAGCAGATTTTCTGGTTAGAAGACCTACCACCTGATCTTATGCCAACAGAAGTAGGAGCTGTTGGATTTAGTCTGTGATTAACAAACAATTTCCCCTTCCCACAGATAAGAAGTGTAGATTTTATCTGAAGGGATACATCACAGAAAAGAAAAGACAAAGCCACACTCTCATTCTCAGATGAGTCAGGGGAGGTGACTCTCTCTGAGGAGCAGTCCTTCCTGCTGGCTGCAGAAGATATTGCAGAACCTTCCGCAGCAGCATATGCCCAGGGGCTATTTGTCAGCAGTATGACAATGGAATTGTGTTAGGTTTGTCTAAAAAAAATCATGTCTTACTCTTCTCTGGGTAACACATAGTCAGCCTTACATTTTGCTGTCACAAACTTTGCTATCCTGGTGAAACTACTGACTTCCTCATATTCATCAGCTATTTATTTCCCTCACACAATAAAACCATAGCACTGAGGAGATGATACAAAATCAGAAAACATGGGTAGGTACACTTATGTAAATTTCAGCAGTTTGGTTCATGAAGAAGGTTGTCTAGCAGGTTCCACTCCAAAATTGAGAGTAAACGTCCACCACAGTTACTGGACAGAGTTCACTCTTTGGAGGCAGCATTCTGTTTGTCCTTTGAAAGGGGTGAGGAAATGGTTGCATTTTATGCTCACCTGGCTATTTCACATGTTAGCTTTACATATCTGATTGGCATACGTATGTAGTGTAGTTTTGTTCTAATCTCATCTGCTTCCTTTGACTACTGTAATCATAAGTTGCCCTGTTTACAGTAGGCAAGAGAGACTCAGTGGAGAGAAATCTACTCCTCCCGAAAATGATCCAGAGCAGGAGCCTGGTGTAGACTGTTAGAGAGTCGGGGAAAAAAACATTATTTCCTTGAATATGTACTTGGGAAGCTTGGAAGAAGATACTCTTCACATATGTTCACAGATTAGGTATCTACCTGCAAGTAGCAAGATTACTCCTGTTTCCTTCTTTCTACCACTGAGTAGGCCATAAACTGTCAAATTTAAGGAATGTTAACTCATACACTTCAGCTGTAGGCCCTCTTTCTATTTTTTATCTAAGATTAAAGACAAACCTCTAGCATAACAGTCTGTTTTCTTGCCTGCCTCAGCTTTTCTCTCTATCTATGTAGCTACATATAAATACGTATTTGTTACCAGTGGTATAGTACTTTCTCTCAGATGCCCAGGACAAAATTGATCTGGGCTGTAAATCAACAGTGCTGTGAAATGTAACAGTGCGGAACACCTATGAAAATCCAAGTCAGCATGCTATGTACTATGTTCCATCCATACATGCAACTGCCACAGTTGTCATCTGATGTTTTCCCAAGGTGTAAAACCAAATTACATCAGTTATCTTCCCCACCCTCATGAAAAAATTCATATTCAGGGCTTGCCTTTGGTGACAGATTCTACTTTTTGAAGTATCAGTCATAAGACAACATTTCATTTTAACTACTACAGGTAGCAATACTCTTATTAAGGAACTAAGCCAACTCCCACGAAAGTCATTGGGATTCTTTGAAATTACTTCCATGAGTTCAGGTCAGTCCCTGAAATACCTCAGGAAACACCAATACACCAAAAATAACTGTCGTTACCAGACAGAGCCTTATGTGGTTTCTGTTTAAAATATTTATAAGAAAATGTTGAACTGTATTTCACAGTGACTCAGTAAATAACTCACATCATGTTTAGTGCTTTTGGCAATAATTAAAGATTTTGGCAATAATTAAAGATTTAAGGCATTCAACAAAAATATCATTGCTTAATTAAAACCAATACAATTCTTCTGAATTTAAAATATTAGCTTGTTGCCTCTCAGACTTTATTCTAGGTGCTCTATAGGATTTTTCTACCTAATCTTACTTAAAGTAAGCAGTAAGCTATTCCTCCCTGGTTGAAAGCTTTCAAAAAATCGTATTGCCTTAATCTTTACACTGTTAAGAACTGTAATGTGTATTTATTTTTCAAATGTGTGGTCTCATATGCATTATTTAATTTCATTAGAGATAACAGGAAAATTGATACTCACTATACCTTCATACTGCTTGTGTCTCTTTGTTGGGATTGTGGAGCTATAATCTGGTTATTATCAGATAGAGCAATATAGACCCAGGCATTGTCCTCTGTGTCTGGCACTCAGGTCCCTCTCCAGCAGTTCTTTGATCTATAAAACATATGCATATTTTTAGTACCTCCAAAACAACATCAAGTGAACTTTTTCCCCTCTAAATGACTAGATGAATAACACTGACTATTTAATGATCCTTACAAAGGCCCATTTTCATCAGGTGCCAAACAATCACATAACCAATAAAGCAAATTAGATAGAATGACACAAAGGAAAGAGGAACTCAGAATTCATACATATTATCTCAAAGAGAAACGTTAAGTAGGATTCTATCATACCTCAAGTTCAAAGGAGCTAAGCAGTATCTACAAGATCCTCCAAAGACATATTCTAGGTTTTTGTATAGGAGAAAGATTCAAACACATATTTCAGATAACATAATGGAAAAAAGATCATATTCATCTTCATTTGCTTGAAAGTCTACACCTTAGCTTGATAAATCCTATTTCAGCAGCTTTCGACTTGTAATTATAAAGATCAATATTTAAAAACACTTGCTCTGCTAACAGGTACTTAAATGATTCTTTTTTTCTGGGTGTACAGTACTTGGGCCTATTCTGAGGTGAGAAGAAGCAAGGGAAAATGACAATTTTTACAGAAAAATTGATGTAAAATGACCTCAGTAAACTAATATATTTTGAAAGAACAGATGCATTGATAATGTGGTTTTTCCATAATCACAAGATACAGATATTTAAGCTACTTCTGACTGGGCTAGCTCCAGCACTCCCATTAGTTCAGCCATTCAAGTAAAACATTTCATTCAACTCTGCTGAACAAGACTTTCCGCAGATTTTCTGGATGTTTAAATACCCTGTTGCTCCTTTCCTTTTCTCTATTACTTTCATTTTCACTTTCAAAGAATTTTAAGTAGTTAGTGGGCTAGGCTTTTTATTTTGCATAACTGTGATGGCAAATTCAATCATATCGTGAATTCTCAGGTATTATGTATTCTGTTTTTAATTTCAGCCAACAAAAGATGAAAGGATTATTAGTACCAAATATTTTGGCTGACCCTAGAATACTCTATTTCATTTTCCACCTTAAATGGCAGTATGCACATTTTCATTAATTTCTCTCTTTGCTTCTTAATGTCCTAATTTCCTAACAGGCTTCACATGTTTGAAATATTTAAGAAGGCTTTGATCCGTTGTGCACTCTAAAATATTTAATCTTTTTTCATTTGAGGTAATTATTTTTGGTGGGGTTTTCTGATGTGTCCATTGTATTTATTGTTTTTGTGTCACTATGCATGTTTACTGGATAAGATTTCAAAACGATGAAGCACTTCTGTTAGATTCAGTTTTCGCAATTTAGCTATCTCTATTTTTACTTTCAAAGAGCCCTCTTTGTTCAAAGACAGGCATTACTCCTCTAATGCTATTGTTACTTTCCTAAGGCATATCTTCATCATCTGTAAGAGTTTTGTATCCTCTACCTTTTACTTGAGGGGCTTTTACGATATGCTAGTTTTTAATGCTTACCTTCATTCTTGACATAGTTGACTGCTGAACACAATGAAAATGTGTCCCCTTGTACTTGGCTATATCACTATCACTTCTTGAGATCACTCCTACCTTACTCAAGAATAGCCTCTTCTTGGAGAAGTGGAACAAGAACCACTTCAAATGTTAATAAAACGCATCTCAGCTTTGTTGTACTGTGCCGTTGACTAATTGATATGTAACTAGTTGCAATCTTTTATGTGTTCCCAATTTTTTCTGCCTCTTAAAATCTAATTCTGACCTGTGCAGTGTATTTCAGTTTGGGGGTCCTGAGGGAAGATACAGTGTGGAGTCCCAATGGCAGCAAGACGGCCATCCACTGTTTTGGTGTTACTGTGAACTGTATACTGAGACTACAGACTCAGTAGTATGGTACTTTTCAATCAGAATTTTTAATTATGGAAGATGCTGCGCAGCCTCTCAGGAACAGTATTGTTCCCTGGTTCACTTGGTCTTTCTTCTGTAGCATTTCCAATTAATTAGTGGAATCTGTTCCTGGGAACTGCAGGGAGAGGGTTTGGTTATATTTTACTGTTTTCACATAACACCAAGATCATCATCAATCTAAAACCTGTAACACAGATAATTCAAATCCATAGTCCAGGAGTTGTCTGTGCCTATAATTTCACCGCAGAGTGGACTGCATTTCATTTAGTGCACTTAAATATAGGCCTTGTTCTAATGCAGTTGTATATAGCATCATTTCCCTTATTAGACACACAGCTGACATTCTTCTATGACACTAGGTTTCACTGGAGGAAGGAAATCCCCAGCTGATTTATTCTGATAGTGCAAAGGTCCCTTTGTATGAGAAGCTCAATAGGAATTTAATACAATGCAGGATCTACACTCATTCACAGTTCATCATACACCAGAACTATTCTCATCCTCACTGAGAGTCCTGTAACAGAGGCAATCGTATCAATTCTTGGGTCTTACCGTCTCCCGAAAGTTGGTCTGGCTCTGGGAAACAAGTGATTAGATGGGAATTTGAGCTTTCATATTACAGGAATTCAAAATTTTTCAGTCCTCATGACTGTAACAGCAGCTAGAAAATAAAACCATTTCATAAAGGGAAATTAAAATAAAACAAAGAATTATTATTATTTTTTTAAATATGTATTTTTAAAGCCATTTGTCCTTTAGGAGATACTGGAGGAGTGATTTATGACAGTAAAATCTGCAAATGCACACTGGCCCCACCTTTTGAAGCACTGCTGCAAGGTTAAGGTTAACACAAATTCCCTGCATTTACACTGCAGGATAAGTTTATCTTCCAGCACCTGTTATCCATGACGCCTTTACGGTCCACGGCACTATACAGAGCCCTTTCTGCTCATATGCCTATTTTCTCTCAAGTGAAACTAGAGACTGTAGAAGGGTGGTACACACTCAGGCTTTATCCCAAGAAAAAGAAGACAGATTTCTTTTGTGCCATTTCTGTATGGAAACATAACAAACTGAGTGCTACATTGAATGAGCTATTTGTGCATTTCTCAGAAGGGCAGAGTCACATAATCCCCCCCTATGTATTGTTGAATATTAGTAGTATCACAAAAGAGAATAAAAATGACATTAGAATTCTTGTGCTTTGCTGAAAATAAGTGAAGTAGGAAAAAATGCTTTGGAAATACCTCTGTGTGCCTCCTTTCCATATAAAAAGAATCTTCACGTTATGTATAGGTCAGCCAGCCAAACCTCAGTTAAAATTTCAAAGTCTTTATTACCATTTGAAAGGTAAGATCTGTGAAATAATGAATATGGTCAAAGTTGTGCTGAACTGTAGCCGCTGTGGGTAAAATAGAAAGTTTCAAAGTTTTATTATTTTTATGGCTGTATCTCAGAATTACCTTCTTAAGTAATATTAAGAAAGGTTAACTATCCTGAAGTTGGGTAGGGGGGAGTAACATCAAGATGAAACCTCCAACAAAGAAATTCTGCTTTCACTGAGGTAAATCCTACAGACATTGTAATGTAATTTCTTGCTAATGACTCCATTATTAGACCTTTGTCACAGAAGAATCCTTTGAATTTGAAATTATCACAGATCTTTATTCAAACCGTGCATGATAAAAACATTTTTTTTTATCGATTTTGTATTTCATGGATGAAATAATGATAGACCCTAGACATGAGTTTATTTCCCAATAACTCAAAAACAATAATTAAAATAATTACTATGTTTTCCACAGCATAAAAATTCCACAATGCAATGTTATTTGCTGATCCATCAGGAGGCCTTGATTCACCTAATAGCTATAATGGAGGTTTTAGTTGTACATGGTTTCTAAGATGGTTTCAGGGAGCTAGAATTTATACAGTGACTTTCTGAACAAGAGAATGTTCTTTCCCTTCCCCTGTTGCTCACACAGACAAGAATTTAGATCAGAAGTTGAATTGAAGGGGTTTCTGTTACTCCTCCTCCCTTGATCTTAAACAAAGAATAAGCCAGGCTCACTCTGCAAGCTGGCCTCCAGCTCTACGCACTAATTTCAGCACTAGCAAGATGTTTACCTCCTATAGACCTGAAGGTTATATGGGTTACTTACCAAGAGCCCAAGGGCCACATCTAATTTGCCTATAAACTATATACATCTATTATAAGTGTATGGAACCATATTTGGTTGTACTTTATCTTTCCACATTATGCAGATGGAAAATAATTTATTGCGGTTCAAGTTCATTAGCAATATCAACAAACACAGTTTTGCTGTTTTGTCCTCATCCTTCCGTTACAGGAAGAGGGCAGCTGGAGTCCACATTATATGACTCAGCAGGTCTCACTTGGCCCTTGGGCTGCACATTACATGCCCCTGCTCTGCTGTTTGATGTGCTGAACAATCTCTGATTTCCAACTGGGGATGTAAACTGATAATGAGATTGCCTTAATGCTCTAAATCTCAGTGGCATTATCACAAGGGCCATTTTCTGGCTTTTGCAGTTGCCTGAAAGGGAAAGTGAAGTAAACAGTAGAGGTGAAAACAGAACTGTTGTATAAGTTACAAGACAAACACAAGCTACTGGTTCAGAAGAAAGTGCAAACTGGTAGCAGTGAAGTGGCAATTTTGTTTTTTTCTGATACCTGTCACACTGAGTATTTATTTAAAATGCTGTTCAAACGGACAAGCTCACAAGACACTGCATCATATTCCCACCAGAGTCTTGGGAAGAGCAGACAAACACTGTAAACACCTTGAAAACATAAAAATAGCATAGCAGGACATATGACCATTTTACATACAATCACAGTATGCCAAGAGATCTGCTGTACGTCAGCAACAAAACCAATGATCTATTAAATGTAATATTAAATAGTCTACTAGCACATCGGTTACAGGTGTTAAAGTAGTCCATAATTACTTATCTAATTTTCACTTAACATTTGGGCTATGGCATAGTTTCTAGTTATCAAGCATCATGTAATTTTATTATAAAATTTGCTAAAAAAGTGTTGTCTTGAGAAACCACAAACAGCAGGGGCAAAATTTTAATAAGTATCTCTGTTAATGTCACTTCAGCAACATAATTCCCACTATTTTAATCACAGGGGGTCTTTAACATGCCTTAAGGGACATACAGTTAAAAACAAGAGAAACAGCACAATTATTAACTGACTACAAAGAAAGAAAAGTAAGGAAGTTGTTTAAGCATTGCTAGAAAATAAGGCTCTTAGAGCATTTTTATACTTCTCCCCTCAGTAGCACATGGTAATAACATATATATTTATACTAGGGTAACCATACAAGACACTGACCTTTACTAAAATTAATTGGGCATTATTTTGTTGCAACATCCTTGAACTCCTGAAGCTAGTCTGCGCTACCCTGTGAAGCTGGCTCAACACTGTTTGTGCTGGCTGGCCCCACTGTGTCTCTCCTCAGTCCACTTCCCCCATGCCCTGTCCCCTGTTACATATCACATCTACAAAATGTGGGAGCATGTCACAGACTCCTCCCTTAAGCAATACGCTCCCCCAGCCAGCGATATCCAGCAAGGCACTGGAACAGAACTGAGCTTCTGCTCACACAGAAGTATACAGGTCACAGGCAGGCAGGGCACTACACAGCTGTATTAACTGAACATGCTGGAGCATCTCCAGGTGGGTTCAAGGAGGAAATTAAAAGGTACTTGCCACATAAAAAACTTTGTGTTTGTTTTCACACAAAGTCCCTCTACACACAAAGCCACAAGAGCCAGTTGTGAAATTCTCAAATTCTTTTACTTTAGCCTTTTACCTGCACTGGACAGTGGGCATAAATTATAATGAACTACACATTCCTAGACCCCACCATTATATCTGTATGTTTAACATTTATTTTACTGGTCCTTGAATGATACTGTGCACGAGAAAAAAAACAGTACCACACTGGGGAAATGTCTTACAAACACTTCCAAAATATATGTCAGAACACTAGAATCCTAAAAATATCTGCAGTATTATACTAATAAATATGCACTGCAACTGAAGCATATTATGCCAAGTATGAGAGAACAAACAAGGTGTGAACAGTTGAGGGAAAATATGGATTGGAGATCAGTAACCAATTTTACAAAGACTTTGCTTCATCCTTATCTCATCCTTGTGCCAGACCTTAATTACTGGTTTGAATTTCATGATGTCCTCCCGGCCTATCACCAAGCTTCTAGCTTGTTTTTTGTTTTGAAATCTATATGGTTTTTACGGGTACCTCAATGCTTGCCCTGATCCTTCCGACATCTATTATCCTGAGCTGGGCACCATCTTTAGCATTATTAGTTCCAGATGTGATCAGCTAAGCTTGGCCACCTGATTACAAAACCATGAAACTCTTTTGTCAGGCTTTCACTGGCAGTAACAAGGGCCATCTTGAATTTCTACAAGCCACTAATGAACACTGGAACGAGCTACCAATCAAAAATCCAGGAAAATGAAATTAAACTGCTTGTGAGCTCAGTAGGTGGAGCTACATCAGCAGTTTAGTTTGATGAAAGAGTTCTTTACAAGAGTGAGTCTGTCTTACATCTATACATGGAGCCCTGTGATACCCTCTCAAGTCTTCGTCACTCCAAGCCCTTTCTCTCCTGGGGGAATGGAAAGCACAGTCACACACTCTCAAAATATCCCACCTGCAATGTGGACTCAGCGTCCTCTAGCAGCTAGCTCTCCAGACATGCCCAGTGAATCTCAAACAGGCAACCAGTGCGAAATTCATGCTGACGAACACACAGTGTGGACACATCGGTTTGAAGACATAACAGATGATACCGAATCTAACCCCACACCAGGCATAATGCAAACACACCCTGTGAATCAAGTGACTTAACAAAACGTTACTGAATGGGGAGAACAAAGGAGAAATGGGAGTTAACCAGAGTAATATATCCTTTCTCATTTTTGATAATAGTTCTGTAAACAACAAAACCAACAATCATGTCATAAAATGGGGGATGGTATGTTGCTCGGTAAGGAGAAATACGGTCACCAGAGCAAGCCCGCTAAATGTGCCTCAGACTGAGTGGCCACCTTAATCTAATGCAAAAGCTTGCAGCCCACTGAGAGCAAAAAGTGTGAAAAAATTGAGCTCACTGAGCACTCACACAATTTATTTTAATTTTCCCAGATCTCTGAATGAAGTCTAAAGCTAATATTTATTACTTTATTCCAGGAATTGAATTTGGACTCTGTTACTGGCAATTAAATCAATCCATTATTCTCTACCCAATATATAATATTATTTCAAAGTCTTCCCTTCTCATTTCTTGGTGAAGCAACTGTTAGAGCATTTGCTGTTTTCCAGCCTCCTCTTTTAGTAACAAGCTGCAAATTGTGGTTGTCAAATCATAGAGATCTATTGCCTATCCTACTAGATAGCGAAGTTATCCTGAACTATGCCCACCATCTGCTTCAGTGAGCCACTTCCTGCTTCACTCCCTACAATATTAGCCAGTCCAGTTCTGTCCCATCTATAGCAGGGCTACACATAGTCCATATTGCCCGGGGAAATAACTTGAACAAATTCTCCTGTCTTTTTTTTAGACTAGGATTTTGACACCCAAAGGCTGCAAACTTTTGCAATAGGGGGGTCATCACTCAGTCTCAGGCACATTTAATTTGCCTAAGCTTCTCACCTAACTGATAATATGATGTCCTGCATTTTATAATGTCGTTGTTTTGTTCATTACAGAGTTATCAAACAGATGTGATCAAACTTAAAATGAAAACTGAACACATTTTGGGCTTGCCCACTACCGCTTTTTATTCATTTCCCTTTCTCTGCATGAAGAGTATCCTCCTCCCCTGTGAGCTTCAGTCTGGAGCACTCTCTGAGGAGCTGCTCTTCACTTTTAGGCTTCCTTTTGCACCTAGGAATGTCATATGCGGAATTGCCTGAACATAGCAAGATTGATATTCTTGAGTGCAAGATTCAGAAAGCTAAAAACACCTCAAGAGAGAACTCACCATATAAAACTCCAGTTAGGAAAATTTCCTGTGAGATATGATCTGTAGTTTAGAGCTGTGGATTCACAAGAGTATTCTCTGATCTCTGGGCACATTATCAGAAATAATACTATTTTTGACCTAAGCCGAAATGAAAAGTGAATGCCAGCTAAATTCTTTCAAAGAATAGATGAGAGTTTCTGGCCTTATGAGATCCAGGCTTTGGATCCCAGGTGCATTCAGTCACCTTCCAGCAGCCCATAGGATAGACTTAAAGAAGAACGGATTTTGAGATACATCAGACTGCTCACTTTTGCTGTCAGCTAGCTGAAGACCTGTTTCTGCTCAACTTATTAGGAACTGATATTCTAAGATCTCTCACAGGGCCTAGATGCCAAGTTAAAGATCCTGGATCGCACAGGAGGATCTAAAAAATATTGCCATGCTTATCTGTGAGTAAACAAGACCCTTATTCAGCCTAGCACTTTGCCTACTGCAAACAGGTATCCTGATACCTCCTTTTGAGACCTTCATTTGTTGTTTGTCTTTGGACCAAATTCTTCCTTATCTTAGATTTAGTAATCTGTGCTTTTCTTTCAACTTGCAAATAAAAATTTCTATTAAATTTTATGGGATTTATACCAAAGATGATTTCCAAAGCATCTCACAGATGAAAATAGTCTAGAAAATTAAAGGAAAATGGAATTTACAACAGTGAGCTTTATATAAACACACACGGGATATTATAGCCAATGGCATCATAATTGTTCTTCATAACTTAGGCTTGCTCTTCAGTGTCAGATAGTGGAAAATTTTTAATTATGCGGGACGTCTCTTTTAATAACAAAAGCAATCTGAGCAGGTGTTAAATTTTCTAAACTTCATAGGTGTAAAATCAGTTGTGACTATCTCTAAATTTCAGTAGAGGTGTAGGCAATTTTTGACTTAACATTATAATGAAAATATAATCATAATGAGAAAATATAATAACATTGTTAATAACTACCTCTACATCAATATAGGAATTCCTTACCTAAAGGACTTTAGAAAAATGTAGAAACTTGTAGTGGGAATAATCTGGTATTACTTTTCATCAGCCAATCATCTGCCATTGCTTTTGGCAACTATGCTTGAAAAACTTCAGCTAATAAAGTTTCTATCCTTCGGAAGACTGTCCCAGATTAGATAGATCTTGAAAAGCAAGGAGTTGGAAGAAAGAAAGGTATAGATCTGATCATACTAATCAGTGAAATTAAATAAAATAAGAAGGGGCATTACCTTGGGTACAGGTAGAGAGGAAACAGTCCATATGAATTTCTCTGCAAGAAAGTATGCAAACAATTACACTGATTTCTTTGTTACGCAAAGGTACTGTAAAATCATACACGATAATGCACCCACTGAAGGACAGTTACTATTGCTATATCAACTACAAGAAAAGAAGAAATTTTGAACAATGCATTTCCTTTTGTGAGCACTTAGGGATAAGTCTTGTTCCCAGTCTTTCTGGGCACTGGTTCCTTGAGTGCCATGGAATCCCTGCTCCTCCACTGCATACATGGAAATGATATATTGAATAACATACTTTCATCGGTCAATTGGGCTTAGTTTTGCAGAGTCCTTCTGTGACTCTCTGCTGGACAGATTGTTGGGCAGATTCAGTAATGATTATGTTTTTATTCCCATAAACCAGACAAATAATGGTACTACTTATGAGTCAAAATATAGGCACACTATTCTTTTACTCTAGTCAGCTGGCATGATCTCAGGTAAATAAATCAAATGGTCTGAGAAAAGAGTTTGTAAAGAAATTATTCCCATTTTGGTTGCCTTCTGAGAAGGGTGTTACTGGCCAGAACACAGTTCAGAGAGTGAACAGATATTGCAAGAGCTTTAGATCATGAAAGTTCTTCTGAATTTTTTCTAGCCCACAGTATCTGGGAAAGAGGAGCATTTTTCTGTCCATTTTGCACTGTGTGAGAAAGAGAAGGACAATGAATTGGCACTTATTTGGATTCTTTACATTACATATCAAATACACAATTATCGTTCATAAATATCTTTCCACAAAAAAAGGCAGCTGAGCAGAAATGAGCAGGAAATATCCTGCTATCAGATTACACTACTACTTGCGTAATTAATGTAGTAGGTAGGCACGACAGTATCAGGCTAAGTAAACAAGCTGCTAATCTTCAAGGAGCTGTTTTTTGAAAGTGAAGTGAAGTTCTGATCTAACGAAGACCTTCATCATTCCAAGAGTAATAATGGCACATGCAAAAATATTCTTCTGCACGGAATTTTGCTTTGCTTTCTTTACATGATCTTGCTTACAGATCCATCTAAAATATTGTTTAACTATTTATGTGATGCTCATCTTTGTGGAAGAGAGTAGGTTAAAATCCAATGCTGCACGTTATCAAATTAGATCTCAACTGGATACATCTTCCAAGCAATTTCAGTATCTCCTTCAAGTCTGTGCAACATGTATTTATTCAGGTGGAATTTAATTAAACTGAACAAATTAAAACTGACTACTGATTCATTTCAAAGCATTGGAGCAGTGAAGTAGACAGGGACGCTGGAACAATTTGCAACCACCTAGGACATCATCATCTCTCAGTGGCCCTTGATTAGCCATTAATAATTTTGTGAATTTTAAATTTGATTTGCATTGTGTAACAACTGAGTTGAGGAGAAGAGAGACCTGTTAAGCTTTGCATTTCAGCAAATCTGTCAAAGTATTGAAACACCAAAATAAACTTTTTGATCATTATAAGCAACTGTCATATTAGCCAATATATGTATCACTTCTTCATCTTCACTTCATTAGCATGCCTGGTGCCAGCTTCAGCATCTGAGCAATATTTGCCCCTGTTTGATGGCTCTGTTTATCCTCTTGCACGTATAGGACCACGTCACAGCCCTGGTAACCAAACCAGGTTACAAGGTTTTATGTAACCTGTCCTGAGAAAGCCTCCAGTGAGGAAAGTTTCACAGCACCCACAAGTAATCCATTCCAGTGCTAAACTACCTTCACATTAGAAAGTTGTTCTGACCACCTAAAAGAAATCTCCTTTGGTGCAATTTAAGGTCATTATTTCTTCATATCCCAGTGGATGTCAAAAATACGTTATTCCCCTAGATCTTGAAACAGTCTTTTACATACTTGAAAACTGTTACCATGTCTGTTTTCCACTCCTTTGGAAAAGCCAAACATAGCTTTCTGAGCTTTTTCTCATAGACCATGTTCTCAAAGCCCTCAACCATTCTTGGGGCTCTCTCTTACAGAATTATCCCACCTTGAGTTTCCATTGGAGTTGGTCAGCTCTGCACTAGACCTTATTAAAAGCTGTATAATTTACAAAGTGGCCCACAAAAGGTAAAAGAATTGACTTAAGGATTGGATGCCTAGAAAGCTTGCTGCATAAAAGTGAAAGTTAAAACAGCTTTGGCTCTAGACCACGGTAGGGTCTCTAGACACCATCAAAATGCAATAACTGCATTAACTCTGGAATAACTGAAGAGTGGCAATAAGTTGAATATTCCACATTTTCCAAAAAAAAATACAACATACAAAATAACACCAATATGTTATGATCCCATAAGTGCTAGCATTTACCCATATTCAAAATAAAAATTGGCTCTAAAATAAGCATTTGGAAAGCAGAAGGAAAGCATAAATCACTGTGATTGCTAAAACAAGTGAAAAATAATTGGAAGAAACTCAAAATAAACATCAAAAATGGTGCTCAGTAAAATGTCCACAACATTTGAATAGCTGAGGACAATTTTTCTTTTGCTGAAAAAAAAAAACAAACTGTAAGGAAACCAACAGGAGGAAAAAGTGGTAAGCAATTTTACAATCAAAATCACGAAGGAAGAAAAGACTCAGAATCAGCACCATCAAATATATAGGAAAAAGGATATGTTCTGATTTATATTTAAAGTTTAGGAGCACTTAACTGATAAGACAGACAATACACAATGATTTCAAAGCATGACGTATTTCTTCCAAACTAACAGAGCCATCTTCAGTGTGATTTTACAATTTTGTGTGCAAAATTACAAAAGCTGTCTATACAAACACTTGAGAGAAGCACACACCTCCTCTGTTGTACAGGCTAGTAACATGGAACTGTTCCATGTGCAGGGCTATAATTCAGGAAGCCAATAAATACTCATTACATGAAGAAAAGCCTAGGGCTACCCAGAAAAACTATAAACCAGGTTATTTAATTTCAATTGCTTTGGAATTTAACTATGCAGAAAAAGTCAAATGAGGACAGACCTGAAGAGCAGAGCTTCATATAGAACTTTCTATGTGCTTTCATAATAGGAATTTAATAGAGCTATCACTCTATTTTGTATGAATAATATTTTTTTCCAACTTAGCCTTGTTAGATTTATAAATTGTTCATGAACAAAGCTGCATTGTCTTTAATACGTTTGCTTCTTGTAGGCTTTTCTTAACAGTTTAGACAACTAATTTTCAGAGTATTTTTTATGAACTGTTCTCAGATTTGGATAGTGGGTGGTTGCTAATTCAAGCTGCACTGTTCCCATTTTCATATCGGCTAAACTTCTTGCAAATAATAACAAAAAAAAAACCCCTATGTCCAAGAAGATTTCTTAGATGCATAATTGAGCCCTCTCAAATAATTAAAATGATTAAAATAATTAAAATATCTGAGACTTATGAACATTTGTACAATTAACCAGAAGATGTTAGAAGGCTTATGACTGATGATTAGTAGCCCACTATGGATCATAGCTACTCTAAAGTTGACACTGTCCTCAGAAATATACTTATAATTATGAATCTAATTTAAAATATGTCTTTATTTTTGAATCAGCCATGAACACTAGCTTCAAAACTATTTTTGCTATTACATCAAAGTACACAAAACAGACAATGCAGATGCTGTGGGCATGATGTTGGCTAAGATAAAACAACTTGTCCAAAGATACTAAATAGATAGTGAAGAGATTTTTTTGAGTTTATAAAGAAATTAATTAGGTAGGGTCTGCATCTTTTACCTTTTAGTAAATGACGTAAATGAGCCTAAGAGCAGCGTTCCAACTTCTTCAAATTACCACTAAGCAGGAAAAAAGCAGAATGAAATCTATGAATAGACAAGGAAGGAATTAATACAATAGTTCACTTAATTTGATGAATGGATCAGAGTTCAGTGTGCATAAATACTTTGGAAATGAAGCATAAAGAATGGAATTATTTACTAATAGAAGAATGCATTAATGCAACAAGCATAGAAGAGATTTGAGAGTTAAAACATTGGCAAACGTGCCTCTCTAAAGAAGGATGCAAGGATTATGAAAACATGATCTGCATGAAAACTATGTAGATAGACTACTAAGCTCCTTTCTAAAATCATTTTTCAATGATGTATTTTCTCTCAGAAATCTATAATGTACTTTAGAGAGGGAAGTATAGTTATGTAATGAAAAATAACGTATAAATAGTAGATTTCTGCATTTACATGGCACTTTGCAATTCTTTTGGTCTGAAACGCTTACAATTTAAAGTCCTAGTCTTACAGACACTTACCCAGAGCTTGTTACTGGAAATATTCTCAGCAAAGTTAATTGGGCTACTCAGAATAAGAGATACTTGACAGTAAGTATTTGCAAGATACATCCCTAAAAGAAACAATATAACAGGATTGGAACTCAAGGTTAAACTTTACCTAATCAAACACTGATAAATTATCATAATAAATCATTCAAGCAAAAAAAAAGGATGACTAGATGAAACTACTCAATATAAATTATGCTGCCTACAAAAAAATATATTAACTTGACCCATTCATAATGGTACAAGTGACTGAGTGTAAAAATAATAACCCAATACAGAAATTTAGGTTTCAAAACCAAATGAACTTAAATTAAAGACAAAGGACAATAATGTGATAAAGGATGTATAGTTATTAGCAATGGGAAACATCTGTAGCATTTTTCCCACTAGATTTCTGTGTCTACCATTAGCACCCAAAAGGATTTTATTGACTCTTTTCCCTTCCATTAATGTATCCAGCTGTAATTTTTAAGGCCTGTGTGTCTGCCTGCCTGCACTTTCCATAGTTCAAATTAGCTTGCATTATATGCATTAACATTCTTGGAAGGTAAATAGATTTTGTTAAAGTGTCCTTACAAGGTGATATCATTTAGTATTTAATCAGTTATTCCCCAAAGCTTACACATTAGAAAAGAGATCACAAAAGCAATAACTGGTAATATTTTCACTTCTACAGTCATTGACTAATTCATATTTATCTAACGCTTTCCAAAATCTACTCTTATCTACATACTTTTTTTTTCCCAAGAAAGAAATACTTTTTTCGTTAGATTGCCCTAGAATAATTTAAAGACATTCAGCCAAACTCTTATTTTTCATCTGTCGTTAGAGGCAGCATTTAACATTATCATAGCCTTCAAAGATTAGCAAGCAAATCATCTCTCCATTTTTTGTTAAAAAGACTATTTATTTTTTCATGTTGACAGACTTTATGTGTAGTTATTTTCCTTGCTCTTCCCATGTATAGTAGGTTAGTTTCCTCGTTTGTATATGTCGTTCATTACAACAGAAGAAAGAAAAAGCAGGGAAGTGTGACTGTAATTCCACAAAAATTGGCTGAGAAGACTCTGTAGTAGGTAAAATGCTTCCAGCTCATTTCTGAGAATGACTAGATTTCAAGTTGATGGTGTTCTTTTCATGCCCGTAAAAGTTGTCAGTTTGACAGCCTGGGAAATTGAAATCTTTTTCACTACTGCTACTGCAGAACAAGCCTGCTAGTAGCACAGGATTTCCAATATTACGCTAAAACACCCTCCCTTTTTTCACAAGATCACTTCTGCAGGGGTGAAACAGAACTTGACAGTTCTTGTGGCAGAGTGCACTCTTGGCTAGCTGGAGACAAAATCACAGTGGTCTTCAGGGCCAGATTATATGTCTCAAGATCTTCAGGAGCTGGAAAGAGAGCTAAAACCATTGTAGAGGTTATCCGGACATGAGGTATATCTTCTTTAGATCTTTTTTCTCCATCTCTTTTGCTGTCCTTATGCAAGAACATAAGCTAGACAGGAAAATAATTTTGAATTTACAACATTGTAGCTATTCCCAGCTGCTGAGCGCTCCGTAGGTTGATGCAGCTTCACATTTGTATCTTGGAGGTGAAAGACTGACAAATACAGTCCTCTAACTGCAAGACATTAGCTTACAAATGATCAGTGAAAGTCTCTGTTTTGCCTATGCTTTCTTACTTCCTCTATCAACTGCCACCAGGACTGCAAGTTTTTTTTGTCTATGTATTTTATTGATGGATAAGATAACCACAAACATATACACAGTTCAATAGGATCAATACCTCTTTAATATAATTAATGTTGCTTTAGCACACACTGATTCAGAGCTGTTTCAATTTTAGCTTTTCTAGTGAGGAAACAATTCTCTAACTAGCTACAGATTCTGAGTCCTTACCATAGCTTGGCTTTCGTTTTTATAACAGCAGACCTAGAATGGGAAATTTGGCTGAACAAATTTGTTGAACAAATATTGCATGATCTCAGTATAGCATCAGTTTAAGATGTAAAAAGACACAATAGCATTTATTTTAAAAAAGAGCTGCTGCGCACTGATTTCATTGACATCCCTGCCACTGATTCTTTTCGTCTCCTTGGACAATTAATTTACTGTCCTTTTTACTTCATTTCTCTATCAAGAAATGAGTTCTTAGCAACATTCAGTTATTGGTTATAGTAGGACTTTGTGGACATAAGGCTGGAAATTGGTTTTTGTTCATCAAACAAACTAAATAGGCTTTCGCTTTTACAGGTTGAAACATCTAACAGTTCTGCAGGTTCTTTACAAAGAATAGGTGAAGGGGAAAAAAGAACTTCTGATGTTCAGTCCTTTCGAAAGTATGATTAGCAGTATCTATAAAATATTTAATTGAATAAATGATTATTTGTGAGTATTTATAAGGAGCACAAACTAGAGGTAGAAACCTTTCAGTGGCTGTTTTGCCACTTCTTAGGTGAATCTCTGAATTTATACATTTCTCTATAATTAAAATGCCTCTGTAGATATGGTCCTCTATGTCTTTGGTTTTAGTTATTCAGAAAAATTTTAGCTGACCATATGAGGTATGCTCAGGTACCAGGTTTATTTGTTTCAATGTTACGGCCTACAAAACAAAATTTTCCAGGCCCTGTTAAAATTTTGAGAAATGAAACAGCATTCTCTTCAGAAAGCAGATAATCTGTTATCTGTGGCTTTACTTAATTGAACCTATGTCTACAGTGTGGGGCAGACCTGCAGTCCTGCTCCATGATGATCCAAATTCATTACAGCTCTGTTTCAGTTTTTTCTTCTAAAAGAATGTAAAGACATAAAACAGTAAAAAACATGGCCACAGACTGAGCATGCATCTATTTGCTGGAGTTCGGTAGTCTTCAAAACTCACAGACAGGTATGCCTAGTGGTACCTAAAACTGTTTAGTTTGACATTTTACCATTTCGCCTGTTCTTTTGATCCAACCACATTTGAAAACTTGCTAATGTGATAAATGTGATAAAATTAAATGTTCCGAAGATCTATGTCTCACTTTCCTCCTGAAGAGATGCTAAAAACGTGAGTCAGATCGTAGGAAATCAAGAACAATCATTTCCTTTTCAGGTGGTGGCTAGCCTAGGTGATACCACTACAGTAGAATATTCAAACAAGGGAAAAGTACACAATCTAAAGAGAAAATGGACTGTTACAATTGGTTTATGCTTCTTTTTCCCCTGCCCAGTGTACCTACAAGATAAAGCACTACTGAGTATAGGGAGGAAAGTCACTGCAAGAATAAAGCTCTTTTCAGATCTCTGATATTCATATCTTTCAGATATGCCTGTGAAAATGCTTCGAGGGATATATACAAGCAAAAGAAAGCCATGATAAAGACATAGACCCCAGTTTGTGATTACAAACACTCTTTTCCAAGTGGGCAGAAATATTATTGAATTCCTTCCTGCAGCAGACATCATCTGTGTCCCTATAGATATGATTGAAATAGGACTGGAAAATACCCATACACAGATGTATCTCACAGGCTGGAAACAGTCCGACACCGGTGCTGCCATACAATATGCTTTTCAGAAAGTAGACTACAAACCACAAGTTTCAGAAAATGCACTTGCAAGTTCAGTTTGGTATAAAGGCTGATAGTAACTCAGCCACACATTAAGTACCATTAAAATCAACAGCAGACTCAACGCCATTTGGGATTGCAGCCTTAAGTCAAACAGCTGAGATCCCTCATATTTTCACATTCTTGAGGCTAAATTTTACCACCAACTCATCTACAATAATTCGTGTTCATTATACCATGCTATCCGTTGTTTTTTCCTAATGGCAATATTCATGTCAAGTAATCTTTAAATAATCTCCAGTCCCTAATACACAATCAAGACAAAGTGGCCATACTTTCTTTCTATATAGCACCCTTTAGACTTTGTTTGTTAGAAAAGTAGATCAATGTTAGATATCTACAACAAATGCTAAATTTACGTTGCGTTCACTGTATCTCCGCTTCCGGATTCATTATATCTGCTATACTTCCAGGTTTATTACAGCAAATGCATAGCAGGCTTACTTCTGTCATTGCTCAAGAGATTTACTATATTTTGATCACTTCCTTATCTAGTATTCACTCACTGAAGAACAACACCATAAAGAAAAAATACAATGCAATTAATACAGATCCTTATGATGAAGGGACTATGACTGCAAAATTTGAAAAGGCAATTTGTGGCTTGATCAACCATCAATACTGGTTGAGATTTTTATAATAAAAAAGTAAACAATGAATATAAAGTAACTAGCCTCTTTCACTGAACGGAAAGCAGTGAGTTTCAAATATCTGAGTTATTTATGCATTTGTACAGGTTGTTACTGGGCAAAATTTTAACATAACAGTCTAGAACCCAAATATTTAAGCTCTATATGGACAAAAGATGGAGAACAGGAAAACAAATTCCTATTCCTTTCTCCTTGTTCCTCATGTCAATCTGGAGCCACACTCTGGGTCTAACTCC